AGATATTTGGAAACATTGTAAGTGACAGAGTTAATCATGCTAACAATAGGTCTTAAAGGTACACCTTGTTTGTGGATTTTAGGTAAACCATACAGACTAGGTGTGGCCTCCCCTGGGTACAGTCTGTGGTACAGAAAACGATCAATAGCCTTGTCCTGCTCCAAATTTTTCAGGCAATCTATTAACTTCTTCTTGTAACCACTTCCTGGATCTCTTTTCAGAGGTTCATAAGTGGTTAAGTCACTAAAAAGTGTCATAACTTTCTCATGATAGTCTTTCTGGTTCAAAATCACTGTGCACCTTCCTTTGTCTGTTGGGAGAATGATGATGTTTTTGTCCTTGCTAAGAGTGGTGAGTGCGTCCCTCTCCTCTCTACTGATGTTGGAAGGTGGTGGTGGAGGGGGTGGAGGCCTCCGGGTTCAACTGTCCCCCTCTTACAATGCTGTGATTGCTTGTATCACTCAGCCCTCTGTGAGTAGTAAACAGCCATCAGTGTGCTAATGACCCATTGTTAGGCTGATGGTCCTTCTTGAGCATGTGATCAGCTGGTTTTGGTTGTCAGCAGCAAACTGGTTGATCCACTCTGAATAGGTGCTATTTAAGAGACTGAGCTGAATACAGCACCTCAGACTGAAGAAGTCTCTTGGATGAGAGACGAAACGTTTCTAGATTTTTTTGCTTTGTTTTGTTTTTTTGTTTTTTTTTGAATGTCCAGAGGACCAGATTGAACTTTTTTGGATTTTTCTACCTGGATTATTGAGCATGCATCAGGACAACAGGGGTGTGGTTTTAGTGATGTAAGAGGGTTACTACGAGTCAGAAAAACAGTGAGATGTTTAGGAACAGACAGAGAAATGTTTAGGAGCAGACAGAGAAATGTTTTGGAGAAATGACAGACTACAGGTGCCAGCTTCTCTGTTTCTGTCTGAGAGGTTTAAAAACATGACAGTTCGTTCCAATAAACTTGTTTGCGACTGTCTCCGACTTTTGACCGACATCACTCCTTCTCATTTCAGAGAGAAGATCAAAATGCATAATTACTTTGTAACATAGACATTTAAAATGATTTCTACTTTGAATGAGGATTAAAAAATCATTAATACTGTTTCACAGTTGATTTAAAATGAGTAGTTCACTTCAACATTTAAAATGGTTTGAACTAAGCACACTTTTGATTATCAAGACATTTGTAAAAATAGTAATGACAATATAAAAAGAGAGTGTTCTTTCAACTGATTAGTTCAGGATACAAATTAGAAAGTCTCTGGATGAGCTAATTTGTATTTCTGGATTCAAATCAATGAAATAACAGTTTCTGTCCCATGAAGGTCTTCAGGGTCAGGTTTTGACCGGAGGCTTAGTTCACTACAAATTATCCAGTCCCATGTTCGTATTAAGAAAACCACCACAATCACGTGATAAGAGACCCGTCGTTCACCTATGCCCAAAGTCACTAGATGGGGAGGGCTGACCACTAGCACTGGAGTACCATGGGAATACAGAATTTGGAACGGTGGTGAAAAATTCTTTCAACAAGTATTCCCTATGGTTGGATTAGGTGAAGTCTGCGACCATGTAGAGATCAATAGATATGCACTTCTCCGCCTGATTAATGCCACACAAATGCTAGGAAATGGAACTCAAAATGAATTAAACGCAATTAGGAACATGGTTCTCCAGAATAGAGTTGTCCTTGATCTTTTAACGGCCTCGCAAGGGGGCGTTTGTAAGATAATTGGTCAAGCATGCTGTACATTTATCCCTGATGAAACACACGATGGAGGTGCCATCCATGACGCACTAGAAGATTTGTCCCACTTAAAAGACTACGTAGAAAGCGGTGCTAAAGGTGCACAGCCCTTTGATTTCTGGGCGTGGCTTACCTCTGGTTCATGGTGGCAGCTTCTGTTGAGAATTTGCGCCCCTCTCATCGTCTTTTTAGTTCTGTTTTGTTTATTTTTCTCCTGTGTTGTCCCATGCATCAAGAGCATGGTAAACAAGGCCTTTACAGGAGTAGTTACGACATCCACCTCTGACACTGACATTGAAAAGCCCAGCCCATCCACTGAACTGTTGCCTAGGACTTCCACCACTTTTGTTTTAAAATAAAATGAAAATTCGTTTTACAGTTAGAGAAAATCAATCCACTCTTGAGATTGACACATCCTGCACCGATGACATCTTTGTAATTGACTTTGACAGAGGGGGACATTCTATCCTGACTGAAACCTCACCCATCCCATCTAGACTAGAATTCCTAGATTTGGTAGTTTTAATCGTCCAAAGTTGTGTTCTTATGCTTATGCCAGAAGACCATGAGTACACTGGACAAGATTTCCTGAACTAAAGATATTCCTTACGCTTTCATATTTTGTTTTTATGCTTTTAAATAAAATTTTATGTTTTCTTGTTTTTATACTTTATGTTTATACTTTTTGATTAAAACAGTATGCCCTCCTTTGAGTTCTTTTTATGTTTTAATGTTTTGAATAAAACTTGAAGTTTCTTACCTGTATGCATATAGCTCTTAATCAGGGTCTGTAACCCACAAAAACAGCTCTTGCAATTTCCATTTGAAGTTTATGATAGTCCTGTGCCAAACCACAAGTGCCGTGATACATTGGACTTGATGTTTATCCCATTCAAAGTCTATACTGTTATATATAACCTTGTTTACTCTTTTGTTTTCTTATTTTGTTGTTCCTTTTGGAACAAAAGGGGGGAAATTGTGAAAAAAATAATAAACTGACACAATATTGTTTAAATGTTGTTTAATCCATATCCATCCTGCAGTTTTAAAGTTGATGTGTAGATGTGAACTCTGGTAAACTCTCGTAGATGTGAACTCTTGTAAACTCTTCTCAAAGTCTCCTGCTCAGCAACGTCCTTGCAAAACACCTGCAAAGAGACGAGGACACACACGAAGACGTTATCTGACTGTTGGCGAGCTGAGGACGCTCCTCGTATCAACATGTTCTCCCTTTATCAGAATGTTCTAGCCACAAGGACAGAAGACTGTTACAAATCAAATTAAAATTACCAGCTCCACAAGAAAAAGAACACCTCGTGCTGAGGACAACAGCCTGTGTCTGATATAAGTGTGAGAAACTTTGTACTCCCTTATGTTGTGACGCACGAAACATGTATAAAAGTGTGTACTGCCTCTTTTGTCTTCAGTGCTTATTCTGATTTTGTTCAGAGAGCAACTCCTTTCTGCAGAAAGAATAAACCTTGCGCTCCGATTTGAGCTAAAGAGAGATGTCTCCGGTTCTCCTTTTATTAAGAGTTTTTAAACTTTAAAATTATTACTATTTTCTACAGTTGCACCTACAGATGAGCAGGGGAAAGAATGAAAACTTGTTCGAAGTCTAATGGGTAGTTTTTAAGAGCTAACTTCTTGTAGAGCATGTAACATTTCACTT